CAGACGTTCGCACGTTCAGTGGGCCTCAAGTGGCGTAGGGTGGGACGCTCACTGCAGCGCAGCTGTCGGGCATTGCGCGACCCAGCGTTGGACTCACTGGCCTATGAATACGAGCGTGATGGGCTGTACGAGCAGGCCTTCCAATTGCTGCGTCGCTTCGTGCAGGCAGAGGGCCGCCGAGCCACACTGCAGCGCCTAGTAGAGGCGCTAGAGGAGAATGAGCTCACCAGTCTGGCAGAGGACCTGCTGGGCATGGCAGGTCCTGATGGAGGCCTGGCCTAGACCCGGTTCCAAGGATGCAGTAGTCCACCAGGAGCCCAGCAGCGTTTGGAGCATCTGGATGGTTCTAGAGTCCCTTCTGCTACTACTGTTACTATTGCTGACCCTCCTTCAAAATCCACTGGAACCCTACAACTACATTTAAAACCTCTACTTCACTGAGCTGCTGCAGCAGAGTTGAGTGCCTTCTCCAGGATCCATAGGAACACCTGCTGAGCTCCTGGGACATACCACTGGGGATTCTGCTCTAGATTCTTTGATGGAGACAGTATGAATGTCGTTTTCATCCTCCTCTATCCCCAAAAGAGAATCTTCTGGCTAGCCCTCACCCCCTTCACTCCTTGAACAGTGACTCAATAAGCGCCTGGAATTTCCTTGTCCTAGGCACCACCCTTGGTGCTGCAAATACTGTAGTGAGCCAAATACCCAAATCCCGCTTGCCCCAGCTCACTCAGTGTGAGACCCAAGTACTTAGCAATGGTAATAAAATGTAACTTTCACTCAGGGAATTGTGGGAACACAGAGGCCTACCCCAGGCTGGTGTTTGGCTCCTGAAGAGATGAGCTGGTGGGAAGGGTGAGGTGGGGAGTTGAGAGAAAGGCAGTGCTCTGGGCATAGCAAGCACCTTGGGGTCTTGAGGAAGGGAATAGGGAAGAGAAGTGTAGAGTGGCTGGAGGGGGTTGCTGAATGACCCATTAGTGAAGGAGAACATGGAGTCTGGTGAGCCATTTTATAGAATTTGGATTTATTAATGAGGCCAGTGAGAAGCCTTTGAAGGGTTTGGGAATTAAGACTGGGAGGCTGGTGAGGATGGAGAGAGAGAGAGAAAGAAAGAGAGAGGGAGAGAGAAGCACGCACGGAGAGAGGGGGAGGGAGAGAGGGAGAGATTGCAAGAAAAAGCAGCAAGAAGGAGACAGATACTGAAGGGGCAGTGGCTGCAGCAATGGAAGAAAAGAGATGAACACTAGGAGATCTTCAGGAAGAAGAATTGGCCTTGGTAACCCTGGATTGGAATGGGGTAAAGAGGACCCAAAGTTTCTTCCTTTGCCAGTGGGATGGAGGCTTGGGGTGGCCCTGTTTGCTCTGTTCATGGGAAATGGTGTTCCTGTAGGACATCCAGTGAGGGAGTGTGAAGGCTGCTGGGTATATAGTTCTGGGTTTAGGAGGAGGGTCACGGGTAAAGATTCATGAATGGACAGATAGTGGGACTGAAGGACACTTACTAGAAAAATGTAACCCCAAGAATAAAGAGGAAATCCAGGGGTTTGGGGGTCAGGGAATACTCACTGTGGTAAGAAAGCCGGCTGACAGATCAGTTGAGACTGAGGTGTATTCAGTTAATAACATGGAGGTTCTGGGTGGAGGTACCGTGGAAAGGAGTGGGAAGTGAAGCAGTGATGCACACCTTTGCTGGGGGTTTTCTACTCCAAGCTCTACCACATAGGCTGAGGTCTGGAGACCCTGAGTTCCAGGAAGAGATAGTTGAAAGCTGGCAGCAGAGTTAGGCAAGGACTGGGCTCTCAGGCTCGAGGGTGCCACTCTGCTCACCTTGATCTCAGGTCAAAGCCTTTGCTGAGTGACCTCTTCCAGGAGCTTTACCAATCCCTGCTAACCCAATCTGGTCAGCAGTGACATTTCTATGTGCTGGAGCCTCTGTGGGGGAGCAGGAGACTCAAAACTGAATCTGGGACTGGACTCAGGCCTATAAGCTACTGGAAGACAGGGCTGCATTGCTTGCCTGGGAAGTTAATGCAGACAGGGTTGGCCTGCTGTCTGGTACCCCAATGGGGACAAAGGAGAGGTGGGATGAGGGAAGCACAGAGGATTCCTGGACTGATTTCCAAAAGATTTGGGACAGTACTTTCTGCCTGTATGATCCTCCTGGGCCTAAGAAGCAGCGTCCCCATCTGGGCATAAGTAATGAGAGCTGTTGTAAGAATTGGAGAAGCAGTTTTGTGTGTGCAAACCGTCCTCACTTGGCAGTTTACTGGGTGGTAGGCGGGGGCATTCCGTGCGAGTGGGGGTAACCAGAGACATCGATACTTACCAGGCCTCAGAAAAGCGGTCTTGGGGAGTCTGAGCTAGCACCAAGAACAGGCCTTCCCAGCAAGAATCGCCCCTAAGGAATCTTCTCAGGGATTAATCCTCACTCTTGGTTTCCGGCGGCGCTGGGGCGGAGCTGAGCTCCAGATGTCCGGGCGCGCACAGCTGGAGGGTCACGTGGCACGGCCTCGGTCCCCTTCCTGCCAACGCTGCATTTGGCCCAGGCCCCGTCCATGGCCGCCCTTGGGACCCTGCGCTGAGCCCGAGGCTCCAGCGTCAGGGGGCCACGCCGCCGCTCCCAGAGTGAGTGTCGGGATCCCAGAGCAGAGGTTGGGGTGGGGAGGAGAAAGGTAGAAGGGATTTGGTCTTAGCGTGAGGGGTGGGAGAAGGTAGGTCTGAGAAAGGGCCTTTCTGCCCGGCTTTCGCCTCTTGGGCACCGTCCCGGGCTGGAGTCGGTGGGGATGGGAGTTCGCTACAAGGGGGAACATCTTGTCCCTTCAGGCTGCTAGTCCCAGCAGTGCGAGGAGGAGGTGCAACGGAGGGGAATGAACGGCTGGTAGTTTAAGACCCCCCCCCCAGGGTGTGGTCTCCTGCACCCTCCTCTCCGGGAGGCGGGGCTGGGAGCCTCTGACCCCCACCCGCCACCCGTCCTTGCTTCCAGAGGCTCTGCGGGCGACCCTTCGAAGAGAGGGCGGGCGTCGGCCACTCGGTCATGAGGAGGAGGCTGCGCCTACGCCGGGATGCGTCACTCACACTGCTCCTCAGCGCCGCCCTTGGCCTCTTACTGTATGCACAGCACGACGGCGAGGCCCCCACTACCAGCACGCCGCAAGCGCGACGGCGGGAGGCACAAAGACCCACCCCAGGTCCCCGCGCATTCCAGGTACTGGACTCTGGCGCAGCCCCACCGGCCTACGAAGGGGACACGCCGCCATCGCCCACTCCCACCGGCTCTTTTGATTTCCGCCGCTACTTGCGCGCCAAGGACCAGCGGCGCTTTTCACTTCTCATTAACCAGCCTCACAAGTGCCGTGGTGATGGTGCACCTGGTGGCCAACCTGACCTGCTCATAGCTGTCAAGTCAGTAGCAGCTGACTTCGAGAGGCGACAAGCCGTGCGCCAGACGTGGGGTGCCGAGGGTCGCGTGCAGGGGGCCCTTGTACGCCGTGTGTTCCTGCTGGGGGTGCCCAGGAGTGCAAGCACCAATAAGGCTGATCCGGAGGGGGAGGGCACACAGACACACTGGCGTGCACTGCTGCATGCTGAGAGCCATGCATATTCGGACATCTTGCTCTGGGCCTTCGACGACACTTTTTTCAACTTAACACTTAAGGAGATCCACTTTCTGGCCTGGGCCTCAGCCTTTTGCCCCAACGTGCGCTTTGTTTTTAAAGGTGATGCTGATGTATTTGTACACGTGGGGAACCTGCTGGAGTTCCTAGCATCGAGGGATCCTGCGCAGGACTTGCTTGCAGGTGACGTAATAGTGCAGGCGAGGCCAATCCGTGCTAGGGACAGTAAGTACTACATCCCAGAGGCTGTGTATGGCCTGCCTGCCTATCCAGCCTACGCAGGTGGTGGTGGTTTTGTTCTTTCTGGAGCTACGCTGCGCCGCCTCGCAAGTGCCTGTGCACAGGTTGAGCTCTTTCCCATTGATGATGTCTTTCTAGGCATGTGTCTGCAGCGCCTCCGGCTCACACCTGAGCCTCACCCAGCTTTCCGTACCTTTGGCATTTCCCAGCCTTCTGCAGCACCACACCTGAGCACCTTCGACCCCTGCTTCTACCGCGAATTGGTTGTAGTACATGGGCTCTCAGCTGCTGACATCTGGCTTATGTGGCGCCTGCTGCATGGGTCACATGGGCCAGTCTGTGCACATAGGCAGCCCGTTGCTGCAGGCCCCTTCCAGTGGGGCTCTTAGCCACCCATCACAGTGCCAAGCTTCTCTTAGCCCCAGGATGGAACAGAAGAGAGCCTGAAAGAGATTCCTGTGTGGGTTATTAAGGTGTGGGTTACTCTTTTCTAGATTACCTGTGTCTGCCTTCTCAGAATCCCAGGGTATGGAAACTGAGTTTGGCATTTCCTGTTGGCTCACACTACACAGAGGAGGTCTAAAAAACAATGTATTGGTGACCACGAGTAGAGCTATGGCTGAGGTGGAGGAAGACCATGTCTTGCCCAACAGGCCCCAGAGCAATGGACATATTTAGTCATCCTAATAGCACATAGGTGTGTGTTCAGGTGGAGGCTTGGTTTTTAACTCCTAGGATGATGCAGACATATGCAGCTCCTCAAGGCCAGGTCCCACAGCCTTCATGGACCTGGCAGGCATTCTGTCATAACTCAATCTAGACATGTTGCTTGCCACCTGCTTCTTCAATTGGATTCCCAGCCCTGTCTACATCTTTAGATCTTTCCCCTCTCAGGTCTGCTTTCCTGGGCCAACTCCAATAGGATCCAGGTCTGCCTGGTACAGCATGGATAGAGCCATATCAAGGACAACTATGTCATGTTCCTAAAGTCTTTCCCCATCTCCTATACCCATACACTATGCCATTGTTAAAAGCTGTCCCGTCCCCTTCAGAGGAGCCATGGCTGTCTCCTCAGACATTTCTACTATAAAATTTCTCATATTCTTCAACCACCCCCTTCCTAAAAAATAAATACTTCCACACTTATTTCAGTACAAATATCTCAGCAACAGCCCATGGCAAGCTGCTGCTAAGGGCACAGGTGCTTTATTGGAGAAGGGATGTGGGCAGGGGATGAGGATGGTTCCCTCTTTCCAAGAGGATGGGAACAGTCCTGGCTACCCCTGACAGTAAAATGTGCAGGGTCTCTGGCCAGACCACTGTCCAAATGGGAAGACATTAGTCAGTTACAAAGTCAAAGTCATGGGAGTGCCACATAAGCCTGACTATAGGACTAGGAACCATACAGGCACCTGGAGCAGATCCCCTGCACATTCATCATAAACTATACAGGATGAGGCTGTACATGAGTTAATTACAAAAGTGTCATATTTACAAAAATCTGTACACACATTTGAAAAACTCACAAAATTGTCATCTATGTATCACAAGTTGCTAGACCAAAATATTAAAAATGGGATTAAAATTATACATTTCTCTTAATTCTTTCCAAAAAGATTAATATTTTTAAAGCATATATATGCTACTTTCCATTAGCCAGACCCATGAAGAGACCAAGCAGCCCAACCTCCCTGGAGCCCCCCAGCCTTGAGCCATGAATGGCCTGGTTTGAGGACAATGCCCAGGTTTGAGGCAGGGAGCTGGCCCACAGTGCAGAACAGAATCCTAAAACACAATGAAAGAGGAAGATGTCTTTGGCTAAAACTTTGGCATTAAATAAAAGAGGCAAACAGGATGGAAACATGCAGCCCTGCCAGCCAGGCTGGGCAGAGCAGGGGCACAGGCAACCTTGAAAGCTGGCTCCAAGAGTTGTGGGAACCAGGCCTGAGCACATACCTGGAGGGTAGAAAGCTGTGTTTCAACCAGTTGGGTGTGCTTCCTAGGACTGGTGGGCAATGGGTGCCAGAAAGAAACCAGGAAGGGCAGGTAGGCCACCTTGGCTACAGCCAGCTCATCAAGTAACAAAAGTGGATGTAGTGCAAATGTTGCTACCAAGTACTATGGACACGCTACCTTCCTGCCACAAGGGTCACATGGCAATGTGGAGCCAAAAGCAGGACCCATGTCCTCGGCCACAGAAAGAGCCCCAAGTTTTCCCAATGTGTGTGGGATAGGGGCTGACATGTCCTGCCTCCTTACATGTTAGTAGAGAGCTTCTGAATCCAGATATTAAGGATCAAAATTTGTGCTTCTCTTTGCAGTCTGTTTCCTGCTGGCAGCAGCAGGCTTAGGATGGACAGAGAATATCTGGGCCCTTTGTCTCTTGGCAAAGCACCCAGCCTGCGTTCCACCTCATAACATTCCAAGAGCCCTTCAACACTGGCAAGGTGTCCAAGAATACCCACAGGTGGTATAGAGACCCACTGAGCAGGATGCAACGCACAGTTCCATGGGTAGAGGGGCAGGGGCGGTGATGTCTCTAGGGTAGCTCTCCTGTTCTCAGGTGGGCACCAGGCCGGGGGGGCCCATACAGGGTCACCGAGGCAATGTGGTTGTTCTGCATGACCTGGTATAAGAAGAGGACAGTGGATCAAGGGACAGGGGAAAAGGAATTAAGGCAGATCCTGTGTGGCAGAGGGGTTGGCTAGAGGTCATATACACAAAGTGAAGGCTTCTTGACCCCTCAACTCCTCACAGTTTACACTAGGGTGCAGATCCTCTGCTGTTCCTCTTAGGGTACTTGACCTTTACCACACCTACTTGTCTAGTTCTTCTGGAACTGCTAAGGGCCTGCTAAAAGTATAGCTTCCAAGAAAAAAAAAAAAAGAAAGAAAGAAAAAGAAAAAAAGGCTGTCTATTCTTCCCCCAAGCCAATGGGGCCTCCAGAGCCATTTGCCTACAGTACATTCGTTCACAAAGGTTCCTAACATGCCCAGGGTTTGGCCCCACTGCCCCTTTCCCTGAGTAGCTGGTTTCAGTACACACAGAGATCCCTGTAATCCTTCTCATTTTATTGGAAACAGACTGCTTCAGCCTCCATAATTCCAAATTTCTTCAACCTTTCCCCTACTTTGTGGTTTTGGGGATGGAACCCAGGTTCTTGTGCATGCTAGGCAAATATTCTACCACTGAACTACATCCCCAGCTTATCCCAAATCATTTCTGAACCCTTACTATTAAGTGTGGGTGGGCCAAGTACATGGACAGGGTTGCTGAGGAAAAACTAATCTACCCACCCTGGCACTTAGGCCCTTCCCAATTTTCCTCAATCACTTGCTTGTCCTTGCTATGACCACCAATGCCTCAGCAGCTTATTTCTATAAACTCTAGGACTTACCTCAAAGATCATCCGCTGAAGACCAAAGCAGAATGTGGAACCAAATGGGTTAGTGTTGTTTGGGGAGGAGGACCTGAGGCCAAAGAAAGCAGAATTAGAGGAGCAGACAAAGGTCTGAACAAGGTCAGCAAGGCATTCATTCCCTTTGGGATGTGGGCCACCAGCTAATTATCTCTTGTGGCTTTGAGTGTACTTCTGTCTCCATATAGGCCCTTTAGGTTCTAGGGGTAGGAATGGCCTGACTCAATTCAGAATTCTAGATAATCAAAGAGGACTCAAAAAGTTACTGTGGAACTGGACAGGGGTGGTAAAAAGTCAGAAAGGTTCTTTCAAGTGGAGCCTTGAGCCCGAGTAGAAGCTGTAGGCAGCATAGCAGCAAGGAAGGGTCTTTAGGTTATAGTAGGTAGTGGCTTTGATAGCAAAGAAGAGCCTGGGACAATTGGTCAAGATCACCTCTCATTTTGAATAATTGGTGATGAGAGGGCCTCTATACTTAGAAGTATGGTAGGGGGCAAACATTAAGACCAATTGGCTCAGTCCTAATGTGCAGGATGGAGCAGGAAGTATGTTTTGGCAACATCAGAAACCTCTATAATTTCTAAAGCAATACCCAGTGGTAGACTTTCCTTGAGCCTTTGGGCTTCAAGGAGCAGATGGAATGATCAGAGACAGCAAATGCTGACTCACCTGTGTAGGACAACGGGCTTCTCCACAGGGTGGCCCAGGAGCTCCTGGATATTGTCCCACTGCAAGATGGATGGGGAGCAGCAAGGGTTAGTAGGGATGTAAACACACCTGTGACTAATGACTGGCCTGGAGAACATGACCTAAACTGCCAGCAGGCTCATGCTCATGCTCAAGTCTTTCTAAAGTTGCATTAGGTAGGAAAATAGGAACTCACCTTGCTGTAGGTTGTACATGTTTCTGTTTGACCATCTGCATTTTCTGAAAAGAGAACACAATAGGCAGGCTGGTAACTGGCCTAGACCACCTGTGTCCCCAGCAGTAGGCAGAATTCAGATCTAGCTACCTTTTGCCCTAGGGTTAGAGTACACGGGAAGCATAGGCAAGATGGAGAATTTTGGAGCTCCAGGATGGAAGAGGGTGGAGAGGAGAAGGAAGGTTAGCCAGGTATGAGCTACCAACTAGTAGCATGAGATAGGCACTAAGGATGGGTTCGGGGCACTGGATAATCATCTGTAGATAGGAAAATTTCTCCTTCAGAGGCCAGCAATCCCATAGTCAGAGGAAAAATCCTTGAAGGCCTCCAGGAGATTCTAGATGAAGAACAATGCAGCTCCCAGAATAAGGGACCTATCCCAGAGGAGCTGAGATTACCAGCAGAAGCAGGCAGGCAAAGGCTTCATTAATCTAACTACTACCACCCTCTCTATTTGGCTCTTCTCCCATCTCAGAATGGAAAAGTGACTCCCGAACCTCTTCCTTACCCCGAGGGGACACTACTTACCTTTCTTTATGGCTAGTGGGATCTTGAATTCACATCGGTGATAACTACAGAAAAGGTAGATGAGGATAAAGGCTGGGCAATCTTGGAAGCCCTGACCACTCCTACATCCCAATACTGTCCCCCCCAAAAACCAGAATCAAAGACATCTCCCCAATGCCATGGCTCTGGATCCCTGACACAGCATTCATGGGGAGAGGCCAGATTGGGTACTGAAGTCGAATAGAATAGGGCATGGCCTTAAGGTCTAAAGAGCCTAACACCTTGGATAAGGTATTGAGGCTTCTGATCCTTTTCTCTATTTAGAAAATGGGCACATATGGAGAGAATGTAAAACATTGGACATTGTGGCAGGGACACAGCAGGCACTCAGTAAATGTCCGCCTCCTATAAAACAGCAAGAATTCAGGCAGAGGGTTGGAGATGTAGGTCAGTGGTAGAGCACTTGCATAGCATGTACAAGTAAAAATGAAAGAACTCAGGTAGAGATAAATTAGAGAATGCTCAAAGTCACAAATTCTTTTTCCTGTTTTATTTTATTTTTTCTTTTTGTTTGTTTTGTTTTCTCCCCAGCCCAAAGCTCACTTACAAAAGGGGAAGATATGTGTAATTGTACTTACATGTTAAAATTATAATGCCCAGGGTAATTGGTGTGTAGGACAAATTTCTTCACTTTGTGGGTATTTGCATCGAAGAGGATGTCCTGGGATAGAAAAGGGTTTTTTATTATTTCTATTATTGAGGTAGTGCAGGAACAATTTCCAAAGACATGTCCATCTTGGAGATTTCCATTCCACCAAAGGGATGCTTGCAGGCATCGGCTCTCTTCCAAACAATAGTCAAGGGGACAGCTAAGGCCAAGCAACCTTAACCAGGGATTTTCAGTGGAGGAAGGAGGGCAAACAGCTGCAGGCTTGGCAGGCACAGGGGTTACAACTATACTGCCTAAGGAGAAAAACACATAAGGGAGACCTTTTCTACAAAAGCGCCTAATGAAAAATCTGAGTGCAGACTTTGACTTAAAGACTATCAAGAAGATTAACAGTAGAGGGTCTCAAAGGCACCTGATACTTTTTTTTTTTTTTTTTGGTGGTGCTGGGGATCGAACCCAAGGCCTTGTGCATGTGAGATAAGCACTCTACCAACTGAGCTATATCCCTAGCCCTCCTGGCTATAATGAATGCTATGACCTGCCAGACTTTCCAGGCTTCTTTTATGCTCTCTATGGCAATCCCTAGAACTAAAGTCCACGTTTCACCAGGAGTTGGACCTGAATTTGATGCAATCCATTGAAACACAAAGCTACCCATCCAAGATTCTGACAGCTGCTCAGGTCTGGGACCCCAAGGTCACCTCTGAATCTACTCTGTACCAGTAGCCAACAAAATCCTACCAAAGCTGTCCCTTCTTGGAATTTTCTCTGCTAGCTATTTTCACTGGCTCTTGAACTCAGGGGTCAAGCTGTAACATCACCATTCCTTCCTTTATTCTACACTCAGGAGTTTATGACCTACAATGGCTCCCACCCCACTGCCCCAACTGACCCTTGGTTATGTTTGGTCTTTACCATATAAGCAGACCCATTTCTCCTTTCTCCCTCTTAGGAAGCTATCCTTTGCTGTCTCAGATCACAGAAGGCTCAAAGCTAACTTAGAAGACCTATGGTTAGGTCAGTTCTGCCCTGAGATATTTTCTGCAGGCACACTATTTATACAACCATTTCTCATATATGCATCCTACCCACCCTACCCACCAGCTGGACTATCAGCACTGATGGCAGCAACCAGCTACATCCAGTTCCTTAGGTCCAGAGTACAGTGTTGTAACAATGCCTCTGGGATGGTCCTTTAAAAATAAAAAGCACACTCCTGGTTTGTGACTCTAGAAAAGGATTCTATGCTCTACAAAAGTAGCTCCAAAAACAGTTTAAAATGAATGACTATCACAGTCTCCATCTGTTTAGACTTCTTCAGAAAATAAGTCAAGACATACCAGAGAACTGGGTGTATTTTGGCATTTTGGTGGTAGGAAAGGTCTACTTTGGAGTACCGAAGCCTATGCGAAATAACACTAGGCAAAGTTAGCTGGGGCTAGGATGCCTAGGCATGGTTAAAGCTGCATGTGCACACTCAGGTGTGCAAAGGTGTAATGCCCATCCCAAAAGAAACAAAATACTTTCCTAAGGCATCACAACTTACCACCCCAAGAGTGAAGTAGTTAAAAAAGTAGTCATTGCACTTGGATGGAACTTGCTTATGAGGGGAAGGAGAATGAATTTTCATCTATAGGAAAAAAAATAATAAATTAAAATATAACCCTTTAAATAGTTCTTGGGTAAGGAAAGTGTTCCCTGTTTAACATTAAGCTGTTAGGTAAATGAGAATATGGGAAATCTCAACTGCTGGTGAGTCCAGAAGGAAAGGGGCCAGAGATGGTTGACTATTGACTAGGCCTAGGTCTTTAAGAAAACATAGGCATTATGGACAGTGACACAGGAAGGGTCATTTGACCAACAAGGGCCAGAAAAAAGCTTTTAATTCACTTCACCATCAACTTTAAGTAGAACAGTTTCTGTGGGAAAATAGCACAATTTATATTTGTTCAAACTACTAATGACTAAAATGAGAGATACAAAGAAAGAAAGAGACTATTCACTATATAAACACATCTTTCCTACCTTGTCTTCTGACTTGTAGAAGACCTTGTGTGGAGAGCCAAGCATGCTAAGAACATCTTGGCAGGAATCACCAAAATATACTGAGCGTTCAAATACCCGCATCTTGGCATCTGCTAATAGGCCAGGCCCACAACCTGCAGAGAACAAAGGAGAAGATAGATGTCAGGTTCTGCTCAGGGCTAGAGACACTGTAACCCAAAGATTTCGGAGTCCCAGAGAGATGTTACCAGTTGCATGCTGCATTATCAGGTCTAGTCAAGTGGCAAGACTGTATACAAACAGAAATACCAGGTCACCAAGGCTTAAGTAAAACTCTATGAGAAATCACTATCTACTCAAAAATATTGCCAGGGATTCATTCAAGACCCCCAAATTCACATGGAAGTTCTAGAGACTTCAATCAGGTACTAAGTATTTCTTTACTGTCTACCATGGGCTAAGATGCTATTAGATGCTGAGGAAATACTGGAGAACCTGTCCATAATACTGCAGCCTGTCCATAAGCTTTATCACGGGAGCTTGTGACATAGTGGAGAAGATGCAACCTAATCATCATACAGCTGTAGTAAGTCATCAGCAGCAGGTATTGACAAGACACAAGGATTGTGTTAAGAGTTATTTCTCCCCCCACCCTCTAATACTTGGGACTGAACCCAGTATAACTGAGTTATATCCCCAGCCCTTTTTATTTATTTTGAGATAGGGTCTTGCTAAGTTGCCCAATCTGGTTTTAAATTTGCTTTAGCTTCCTGCTTTATTCAGCCTTCTGAATAGCTGGGGTTATAGGCATGCATCACTGTGCACAGCAAGAGCTATTTCTTTTTCTTTTTTTAAAAAAACTAGGAAGCCGGGGATATAGCTCAGTTGTTAAGAGTGCACGCCTTTCATGCACAAATCCCTGGATTCAATCCCCAGCACCACAAAAAAAAAAAAAAAAAAAAAAAATCATTACTAATTAATTTACAGTGCTGAGAATTGAACCCAGAGGTGCTTTACACTGAGCTACATCACCAGACCTTTAATAATTTTGTTATTTTTGAGACAGGGTTTTGCTAAATTGTGGAGGCTGGCTTTGAACTTGCAATCTTCCTGTCTCAGTTTCCCAAGTAGCTGGGATTACAAGGGTGTACTACTGTGCCCAGCAAAAGGTATTTCTTTTCTTTCTTTTTTTTTTATTAGTTGCTCAAAACATTACAATGATCTTGACATATCATACATTTGATTCAAGTGGGGTATGAATTCTTTTTTTTCCACGTGTACAGATTGCAGTATCACATTGGTTTTACAGCCACGTTTATACATACAGCCATATTAAGCAAAAGGTATTTCTCAATGGTAACCCCAGTCAGCCAATCAGAGACTCAACTTACAATATAACTCTACAAAACAGCTACAGTAAACCAAGAGTGGTGATTCATGCCTGTAACCCCAGCAGCTTGGGGGGCTGAGGTAGGAAGATCGAGAGTTCAAAACCAGCCTCAGAACAGCAAGGCGCTACACAACTCAGTGAGATCCTGTCTCTAAATAAAATATAAAACAGGACTGGAGATGTGGCTCAGTGGTCGAATGCCCCTAAGTTCAATCCCCAGTATCAAAAAAAAAAAAAAAAAACCCCAAAACAACCCCAAACCATAAACCAAACAACCCTATAGTGAAGCACACACCTCATACTTAATGTTAGACAAATACCCGACAGAGTCCTCCACCCCAGATAATAGCCATCATCACTCAAGAGACAGATCAGAAAAGTGGAACAAAAAAGCCTTCTAATTTGCCAAAAGTTTATACTTTGGAAACAATCTTTTAATTCTGACTTTCTTTAATACCTTGCAGAAATGGTTCCTGTAAATGACACACCACACAGATGCAGGGGTGCTTATGGCACAAATGATAGAGACACACTAGGTGCTGTACACCTATAATCCCAGCAACTCAAGAGACTAGGCAAAAGGATTGCAAGTCCAAGGGTAGCCTCAGCAATTTAGGCTATTGCAAAATAAAAAAGAGACACACTAACAGTAAGAGCTCCCTATTCTGGGGATAGGGAGACATGGAAGATAATGGTAAGATGGAAGTCAAGAATTAGAGAATTGCAATTCCTGGTACCATGATAAAATGATATCACCTTACTTTGCTCAAAGTATTACAGTAGTCAAATTTCTTTCCTGTGTAACAATCAATTTGATGTGTGGGATAACTTTAAAAAAATGACATATAAAATAATTAAATATTGAGTTTTCTGATTAACCCACAAGTCTATTCTCAGCACATGCATACCAAGTGGCATATAAAAGTAGTGTTAAAATTAACTAGATCTTGGGAAAAGCAGGATCCTTTTTAACCTTTGCCATAAATCCTGTAAACTTAACAAGCCTGGGTGACCTATAGAACATACTAAAAGTACTGTCAAAGCAAGGCATACACCCATAATTCCAGCTACTTGGGAGGCTCAGGCAGGTGGATTGCCAAGTTTAGGCAATTTACTGAGACCCTGTCTCAAAACAAAAAATAAAAAAGGATTGGGGACATAGCTCAGGGGCAGAGTGTCACTGGGGTTTAATCCCCAACACTGTGCAAAAAAAATCCTGTCAATGTGGGCCCAAAGGTCTCTGGTGGTCTAATATATTCCTCCATCTACCAGTTACTTGTGAATGTCTGTATGAGTTTGCAGAGAAGGGGCCCTTCACAGCTGAGTTTTCTCAGTTGTCTCACTCTGCATGAAGCCTAACCAGATAAGAATACCCTCACTTTTAGGAAACTACTTAAGTTCTTGATTCCTTGGAGTATGTCTTTCAAAACATTATAGCTGTCCTGACTTTCTATGTTACAACATCATCGAAACACCAGACATGGTAGCACACACCTATAATCCCAGCAGCTCGGGAGGCTGAGGCAGGAGAATAGTGAGTTCAAGGCCAGCCTCAGCAACTTATCAAGGCCCTAAGTAACTCGGGGAGGCCCTGTCTCTAAATAAAACATAAAAAAGGACTGGGGATGTAGCTCAGTGGTTAAGCATACCTGGGTTCAATCCTTGGTACCCAAAACAAAACAAAACAAAAACATCACTGAAGCTGGGCATGGTAGCTCACGCTGGAAATCCTGGTAATTTGAGAGGCTAAGGGAGGAGGACTCCAAGTTCAAGTGCAGTCTCAGCAACTTGGCAAGGCCCTAAGTAACTTAGCAAGACCCTGTCTCAGAATAAAAAAAGGGCTGGCAATGTAGATCAGTAGTAAAGTGCCCTTGGGGGTTCAATTCCTGGTACAAAAAGCAAAGACAAACAAAAAAACCATCATCAAAGTCATACTCCCTTCAGATAACTTTAAACCTTCACGTTTTGGAATATACTTAAGAACAAAAACGGGAACTAAATCTCAAATTTTACTCAATTAATTGTTAATACTAATACTAACATTTTGTGACTTTTATATGAATCTTTATACTAATATATAGAGAGCCAAGATGTAAACAATGAGTCAAAAACTTTTTTGAAAACCTAGGTTAGATTTCTCATAAAATGTCTCACTTAAAAGATGGCTGAGACTTTCCACACTCAACAGGCTCCTCCTACTGTCACCGATGACAAAATGTTCTAGATCCTTAACTATCTTGCTGTTACAGGCAACAATCCTCCTGAGAAGATAGATATGAAATCATCTGATCTTGCTATCACTTATTAATTTTCTCCAAAATAACAAACAACTCAACCTGGAGGTTGTAGACTGATTGCTCAGAGGTGTGAGCTCACAGTTTATATACCAGATTTAAAAAAAAAATTTTATAGTTGTAGATGGACAGCATGCCTTTAGTTTTTTATGCGGTGCTAAGGATTGAGCCCAGTGCCTCACACATGCTAGGCAAGTGTTGCCACTGAGCTATATAGCTCCAGCCCATATATACCAGATTTTTAACAGTTAAGAACCAATGCCCCAGGGATTGATGCAAGACTCTGATATATGAACAAATGCTCTATGAAGACACAGCCCCTCCCTTGGATCATCTTAGGCTGTCTTTATGGGGATAAACTCTACAAGGGAGATCCCAGTCCTATTAAGCATGATGTAAGGCCCAAAGCAGCTGACATTGGTCAGGTATGAGTAAGAGATAAAACTGGAACCTGGAAAGACTAAATACTGAATTACTGAAGGTAGAAGTTCCCCCCTGCCTTTTTTTTCTGGTTGTTGTTGTTCATAATCAGCAGAACCACAATTCACCAAGTCCATCCTGCCTGTCTACATAAAAAATTTGCCATTAAAGGTAGTAAAGGGGAAAGCAGACAACATTGTAGCCCATAGGCTCTATCTCTAAGAATAATCTGGAAATACCTGCAAAGATACACAAGCACATAGCAGGATTATGTACATTCTGGGAGAAGCATCATCATTGTCATTTATCAAGATTTGCTGTCTTGTCTCTTGACAAACTTAAGGGATTAGTGTCCTTACAAAAAAGGACCCAGAGGGCTGGCATTGTGGCTCAGTGGTAGAGTGCTCGCCTAGCATGCATGAGGCACTGAGTTCAATCCTCAGCACCACATAAATGTAAAATAAAAGTACTGTGTCCACCTAAAACTAAGACATAAATATTTTTTAAAAAAAGGCCCCAGAGAGCTAATGAGTCCCTTCCAATATATGAAAATACAGTGAAATATCTACGAACCAGAAGTAGGCTCTCACCAGATACCAATCTGCCAATGCCTTGATCTTGGAGTTCCCAACTTTCAGAGCTGTCAGAAATAACTTCTGTCATTTATAAGGTACCCAGTTTATGGTATTTTATTATTGTAGCCCAAAAGGAATAAGATGTATCTCTAAGAATCTGGGATTTTAGATTGTCTCTACATAGGTATAATAAGGAATCTAGACACCTCAAAGCCAGAAACTGACCTGCAGCAAGTAGGCGAAGTCGTAAACCTGAGGGTCCAGTTCCATCTCGAAGAACATCTACACTCTCAGCATACACGTTGCCCAGGAAACAGCTCAGGGGCATCACAGGAGCCCTATGGGTAGGTACAGAATGAGTAGAAGCTTGGTCTTCCCTCACCAGGAGCCCATGGCTTTAGCATGAAATTTATGCTCCTCACACTTACTTGGTATCCTGTAGGCTATTTCCACTGTAGATATACATTCGTTTTACAGTTGCTCCATGGGGTATCTGGAGAGAAGCTAGACCGTGGGCAAAGTTGGGCTACAAACATAGGATACGAGTTTTGCTAAAGGTACACCATAGGTCATGTGACTCAGATTCTGATCCTCCTTGGCTCTCAGAGTCTTTAAGAACTGGTTATGTCAAAGCACATGGTCAAACCTGCCCCTGGGTTAATATGAACTCACCCTAACCATGCAAGTTCATCTTTAAAGCAATAGGTAACTGAAAATCAGAGGATAAAATCTCCTAACCCTTGGTCACTTAGAAAATTTCAGTGATTAGGAAAAAGTTAAGGCATGACTGGATTCATCTCTGAAAAGTGAGTCTGAACACCCTCTGAAGAGGGTTGGGAATGCTGACCTGGGCCTTGTGCTTCTTGTGAATTCCATCCATTTTACCCACCTTGGCGCTTAAAAAGCTCAATAAGGAAACCAAAGAAAAGCTGCCTATCCCATCCTCCCTTCACCATGACAGACAGATTACTGACCCATATAACACAGGCACCAAGCAACAAATACCAAGGGACAGGAAGAGCTAACCTCGTACTTGGGAGCCTCAGTCCATGAATCTAACTGAAAAGAGAAAGACAGGCCTCTGAAGTTGAGGTGGAAGAGCTGTTCAGCAGAGTTGTACACTGTAAGGGTGGGAGGAAAAGAAAATGATACAGTTGAGTGGCATTTGAAGTCACTAACTTAAACCAGCCCGGAAGAGCAATGACTGGCAACATTTTCCTTGTCTTGTTTCTGAATTGATCTATTAGGTTGAAAGCAAGAGGCAGGGGTTTTCTTTCATACCCAAGTACCAACCTTAAATCCTGAAGTTGGGTAGGATAGTGACACTGACAGGCTTATCACTAAGGGCTGCCATTAATGACCAGAGGAATCAGACGACTTGGCTTACCTCCCGGATGGGTTGCGCCAAAAGACTGGTCAATCTGCTCAATGGTAGGAGCTATGGCCTGAGAGTTGAAATGTACTCCACTGAAAAACAAAAATTCTTTTTTAATACTAAGCTTTCCAAGATGGGTCCACAGACTATGAGAAATGGTGGCTGAAAATTATGTTTTTTAAATGTGGTATTGGGGATTGATCGAATACAGGGGCCATGTACTTGGAAGGCAAGCACTCTACCACTGAGTTCTTTTCTCTGGAAGAGTTAGTCTTAAAATATAAATGTATAAGTCTACAATTATATAAAAATAACATTTTAATTAAATTAATTAATTATTTTTGTGGTACTGGGGATTGAGCCCTGGGGGGCTCTACTACTAAACTACATCCCTAGCATTTGAAGTCAGTTCTTGAGAAGTAGTTATACAGAGTTGATTCTCCAGGCCTTCCTAAGACATCAGTGACTCTGAAGAGGAAGAGAGAGAAGAAACCAGAACTTAAGATATAAAGGTTCTAGGAAGACTCATGATAACTACAACCTGCAGGAGCCAGAATTATTACACATTTGCTTGTCCACTTCTCTATCAGCAAAAAGTACCTGAGCTTGTCCTAGGAATCAGGTCCTTGTTATACCCTTGTAAAGGAAAGCCTGTTGAGAAGGCTGATTGGAAGGAATATTCTATATGCAAGCACAGCACATTGCTACACTGGGGGCTCAAGGATCTATGGATGGTTCAGGTCATTCCTATTTTTATTCTAAAAAGATTAGGCTCTCAAATGGTGGTCTCTGTAAGACTGGCCTTGGAGTCAGAATTATCTGGTTGGTTTTACCTCTGTTTTGAAAAGGGAAGAGAGAGGCTATGCTGGAGAGGACAGTTTAAGACTCAGTGGACTGTCACATCACCTCTAAGCTGAGTTCCTACTTTGCTGGGTGTTAAATTAGATAACACATATGTGAAGTATTTAACATACAGCATGTTCTTAATGAGGTTTACTTCACTAGGAAACTGAGTAGGCCAGAAGGTTGTTACCTCAGAAATCATAGCACCAGGCTGTAATCCCTGAATTTCTGCCAATGGAATCCTTTACTAATTTAATGAAGGTAATAGATAAAGCCTGTTTGTATCAAGTATGACACATACCAGTGGGGAAGAAAACTTACCAATATTTTAACTTTACTTTAGTCAAGTCATATACTTCAATTACCTAAATAAAAAAAAAATTCAAATGTTTAGGAATAGTTAATCCTCTCAAGTTGATACAATGACACATTGAAGAAGATTTAAAATACATTGATAGGAGATGGGCATGTAGCTTGTTGGTAAAGTGTATGCTTAGCATGCTTGAGGTCCTTAGCATGTATTTGGTCCCCAGCACCAACATTTTTTTTTTCTTGAAGTACTGCACATTATCTTTTGTTTTCATTTTAAAATTGGTAGGAAGAAAAAGCCAGGAATGATGGCGTACATCTGTAGTCCCAGATACTTTGGGAGGCTAAGGCAGGGGATCACTTAAAGCCCATGAATTTGACCAGCCTGGGCAACACAGCAAGACCTGCCTAAAAATAAATAATAATACATGTACCTTGTTATGGCTATGTGTTGGGTACTAAGCACCCTTCCTTCCATTTCATACTTTAATGAATTATAAAAACTCAAAAAAAAGTAATATAGCTCAGTGATAGAGCATACCTGAGTTCAATCCCCAGTACCACAAAAAAGAAAAAAAAAACTCAACTTATTACTTACTTTATTTACAAAACAAAAAGATAAAAGGGGAAGTCTATCCTGCGAAAAAACATACTACAACACATTAGGTCAGGACAAGTGTCAGAGTAAAGAGAATCTGGTTGAACCTGAAGAACCTCTGGATCCTTATCAAATTTGCTCTTTGTTCAGCCTCAGATGAAATGCTAAGAACTCAGAGCAGAGACAAAGGAAAGAAACTGAGCACAGTTATTAATGTGGCCAAGTAATAAGTACTACAGAGTCCTCCATGCTATGGTGTCAAGGCTTGGCTGTCAGCAGTATGGCTGACTGGTGCCTGAAGGACCATCTACTGTCCTCCAACTGGGAGGCCTGGCCTTTATCCAAGAGGCCATTGCAAGCTAGCTAAATGTCTATCTATTCCACCAATCTGGGTCCAACTGTGCAAGAGGCTGTAGTGTATTGTGTAGGAGCATCTGGCACTGCCATAGAAACTGACACATTCACATTCAAAAGTAGTTCACTTTTGGCTATAGACTCTGTCCTGATTTTTGTTTAGAGAGCTTATCACTGAACCAAGTTGAATACCTCTCAACTAATGTGCATCTATTTTGATCTTACCTACTACAAAGAATTGCTTCTACTGCTGGACCACTCATAGCATTTGAATGAACCCTTTCCTCCATACTCTCATATTTGTATAAGCCGTTCACTCATCCCAAAGTTAAGCCCCTTGAAGTCAGACTCATTAGTTTGTACAGGGAAGGGGCTTAATACATGTCAAGCAAGCCTTTCTAGTATGAAGCTAGTTAGGGTAATATGAAGCTTGAGAGCATTACAAGTGGAGCTGGGGGAGCTATAGAAAAAGGGGAATAGATGAGAGCCTCCTCTTTCAGCCAGAAGCTCTGCTTGTAGGAGGCACAGGTACTCTATCTCTCTGAGGGGTACCCCTACAACTGGCTAGTGACCCCCCCAAAAGGATGGTTTCTTCCAATGGGAGCCTTTCCAAGTTGTTTTCTCTTCTCAGTAGCTCATTTGTGATGTGATGAAGAGGACTGAGAAGTATTCAAGTCTTTTAGACAGGCGACTCCATAACCTTACTAGGAAAAGGGCTCTGGTATGACACTGCCTGGAACTCACATTCCATCTCATGACTGTGAGACATGACTCTGGTGTCATGTGACTAACCTGTGAGGCCTAGCATTTGAAAATAGAGTATATTAAAAACATCCTGGACTAAAACAGGTCTTAGCAAATTGTACTCTAATGCCAATTAAGACACTCTACATACTAGCAAATTGTTTACATTTCTACTATGGGGTTTAAGAATCAAACCACTGCATTTGGGATTAATCCCCAAGCTCCAGCAAGACATTACAACAGTATCCATTTTCATCTTCTAAGTCACAGTTTGATACAACAATGAAGTAAAACAAAACAAAATACACAAATATGACAAAAGTCATTTGATCCTATTCTATAGTTGGCCCCATTCTTGGTAACTTTAAATAAAAATACTGACTCAGAGCAAACTATGCCAAACATTTAGCTCTTCTTTTTTTTTTTTTTTGGCTGCACTGGGAATTGAAACCAGGGGGACTCTCCATTGAGCTATATATCCCCAATCCTTTTTTATTATGAGATAGGGTCTCTCTACATTGCCAAGGCTATTCTCAAACTTGTGATCTTCCTGTTTAAGCCTCACAAGTGGCTGGAATTACAGGTATGTACCACTGCACCTAGCTATTTAGCTTTTCTTTTGTTTTCCTAAGCAATGTGAAAGCCCATTCCCCACAGCATGTTTCTAAAGTTTTTGACATTCTCCTCTCCCCTAAAGCAAGTTCCCCAAATTTTCAAATCTCTTTCCCTTCCCTCACAGCATGTTCCCCGAATATTAAACATTCTATTCCCCTTTAAAGCCAGAGAAAGCAGCCCTTTCTAGCCTCTTTTTAACCTTTATTCCAACTCACTCCCAATGTCCTTCCTTTTAGGAGAACAGACCCCTACTTGATGATGGTCACTTAATCAAAAAAGTTCACCTTCGCCTGTGAGTTTCTAAAAATCTCACAACAGTACACACAATTTAGTCTGGAAAGACTGGCTCAGCAGGACATGAAACTATAGTTGTCATTTATATTTACCTTAAGTCTCTGATTGAAAGCATCAAACAGTAGTTTGATCCCGTCCTGAGTCAGGTTAAGGATGAGGTCATGGCTCAGAGGACACTACAAAACAAAAAAAATAGCACACTCTGACCAAATTATTTATTCACCAGCACCTAATGAAAGCCTATGATATAAATGCAATGCACAGGGGGATATCCAAGAGCAGGCAGTCCCAACTAATGAGGTTTGGAAACCAGAAAAAAAAAAACTGTGTCTTCTACTTCCATCCTGCAGCTCCTGATTCATAATATTGGCTGAAAATAGCCTCCCCCTTCCAGGTTTGATACAAATACCTGGAAGAAAGGGACAAAATCATGTGAACATATAGGTCCTTTTCTTTTCAGGCTCCAGCATCTACATTTGTCATATCAGTTTAATGCCATCAAACCAAAAAAGCAGTCAAGTTAGGAATAAAAGACATGTAAAATGGCCCAGTATCCAAATTCATTAGATATTGCTTATACATATCAGTTGAACCTAAGTCCACATCTGGGTTTTCTGTACCATCTTGAGGGGACACATTTATTCTTCGAATATCTTAAGCCAAATCCTAGGAGCAAAAAATAACTTGTGATCTGAATACACATAGATGGAATTCTTACTTTTTTTTTCTCTTCCCCATTCCATATCACCTGGGCTTCTTCCTGTTTGTTTTGGTAGCACTGGAGATTGAACTCAGGGGCACTCTACTATTGAGCTGCATCCCCAGTTCTTTTTTTATATTTATTTTGAAGCAGGATCTGACTAAGTTGCTAAAGCTGACTTTGAATTTGTGATCCTCTTGTCTCAGCCTCTTGAGTAACTGGAATTGCAGGGGTATTCCAGATTATATGTGCTTCTTTTTGAAAAACCCAACTCTAAAATCAAGACTCACATTTCTACATTTGCCTCTTCTAAGCTCTGATTTCTACAAAGGAATACCTTTATCCATTCCCTCCAGGGTTGTTCTGAGGACAGACAGTAGGTCAGAAAGCACTAAGCACAAGGCTGACAACAGACCTTTCCCTCTTGTACCCCCACCTCCCTATCTGCCTTCTTTTGGTCCAAAACAATCAATTGAAGGACTCAATGTCTGAAGCCTCTCATAGCCCAGACTCAGGCTGCCCAGAAGTAGAAGGGAAAACACCACCATTCAAAACCCTACCCTACTTGAAACTAGTACACAGTTGCTCAAAAAAATTTAGAAAAGTTTTTAGAGAGCTTTTTTTTTTTTTTACTGGGGATTGAATCCAGGGGTGCTTAATCACTGAGCTACATCCCCACACTTTTTATATTTTATTTTGAGACAGGGTCTAAGTTGTTGAGGCTGGCTTTGAACTTGCATTTCTTCTGCCTTAGATTCCCAGAGTAGCTGGGATTATAGGCATGCACCACCACACCTGGCTTTATAGAGCTTCTTGAAACAAAAGAGGTGTGGCTGTCAGAGACAGTAACATTGGCTAGATGCTAATGAGCCTCATTGGGGAAATTTTGTCTTAAAAGTCTTCTTGGATTTTCTCAGACTATCTGCTGCCCTCCACCTCTTTGATCATTAAAGTAGCAGACCCAGCTGGCACCATCATACTTGGCAAAAACTAGAAGAATATTATAATTTTCCAGTAGATCTAGATGAATGTCTAAACTATTAGGTATCAAGCAAGATAATGGAGCAGTGAACCCTGACTTTGGGTTACCTATAACCCAGAACACAAAGTTCCATTTTGGAGAGGGCCACTCCATGAAAATAAGCAGGATGAAGAAACATTTTAGTTCTTTCAGGAATCTTGCTTAGAGAAGGAATGCTGGGAGAATCTGTATTTTCCAATACTCTCAAGATCTGATTATGCCTTATCCTGGCATTGTTACAATTCAGACTGAGCAATTTTCAAAAGCAGCAAATCACTTCCACAATCAATGTTTTATTAATATTTATATCCCTGGGAACAAAATACAAATATGTGGTATTAAAGCAGGCCCTTACAGTATTCCAGCTGTCCAACATAAGAAAGAGGTCAGTAAAACTATTTGCTAGTAGTTGTTAATATCTTTTCCTCCTTAAGAAAGATGGAATCTACTTACTATGCACTTCTAATTTCCAAGGTATGATTTGCATAGAGACAAGAATTTCTGAAACTTAATAGGGGAAAAAATGTTTTTTTTTTTTTTTTTGCACTTGAAGGGAAGAAGAGACATGGAAAAGAAAGGGAAGAGAGCAAGGAAAGGATAAGATCCATGTTTAAAAAGCATCACAACAGAGTTGAAAGATCATCATTTTTTGATTCTCATCAAGATTTTTCTATTAATAATATACCATTGTACACAAAAACTGTTTCACACAGCAACACATGGTCTGTGTCATAGAAAAACTTCAGATTTCAGAGCTCAGTGCACAGGAGACTGTCCTTTCAAGGATGAAGGTATAAGCTATATCTACTTCCTTTCAAGTAAGGTATGCTCTGCTAGTTAGAGATCTACACTGCAACATCTGAATATAAGCCAACCAATAAATCGGAAAAGACTATTTATTTATTGGGTATACTGGGCATTGAACTAGGGGTGCTTTACCACTGAGTAACATCCCCAGCCCTTTTTCATTTTGAGATAGGGTATCACTAAGTTGCTGATGACCTCACTAAATTGCTGAGGATAGCCTTGAATCTGTGATCCTCCTCAGCCTTCCAAGCCGTTGGGATTATAGGCATGTGCTACCATGTCTAGCAGAAAAGATAATTTTAAACACAAAAGTGGACAGAAATCCAGAAAAAGCCTAAAGTAGAAGGCCTTCTGTGTTTTTTTTTTTTTTAGTTGTAGTTGGACATAATACCTTTTTATTTTATTTATCTATTTAATTTTTATGTGGTGGGCTGGAGATGTGGCTCAAGCGGTAGCGCACTCGCCTGGCATGCGTGCAGCCCTGGTTCGATCCTCAGCACCACATACAAACAAAGATGTTGTGTCTGCCGAAAACTAAAAAATAAATAAATAAATACTAAAATTCTCTCTCTCTCTCCCTCTCTCTCTCTCACTCTCTCTTTAAAAAAATAAAAATAAAAAATTTTTATGTGGTGCTGAGGATCAAACCCAGAGTCCCACATGTGCTAGGTGAGTGCTTCAGTAGGTAAGTTGAGTACAGAGAGAAAACAGGTTTAATTTTTATTGTTGTTCTAGAGTTGGCAGCATAGATAATCAAGACCCAAGGGGCTGGGGTTATGGCTCAGTGGTAGAGCACTTGCCCTGCACGTGCAAGCCACTGGGTTTGATCCTCAGCACCACAAACAAACAAATAAACAAACAAATAATAAAATAATGTTAAAAAAAAAAGATCCCAAATTTCAGAATCAAGCCAATATACTTAATAACTGACTAGTGCTAGAGATCCTCCCATTGGAAAACAGCAATTTCTACCAGTCAGCTTCTTCTAGAGCACCTCCTATGGAGCTGACTCACTGAATAGGAGTGCTACTTCATAAACAAATAAGCCACCACTTACCTGCTCACTGTAGAGAACCTGGACATTTTTGATGATGCGACAGTGCTTCTGAAGAATGGATACTGCCTGAGATAGAGGCATTCCTGAAATAAAACAAGGACACTTGTGTGATTACTTGGGCTAGGCACTGATCCCTGAAGCCTACAGACAAGTGGGGCTACTAAAGTCTACAGATATAAGAGCAAATAAAGTTCACTAAACAGTAAGAGCTAAAATAAAGATAACCAGCAAGCACTAAGGGAATACTCAAATAATCCAAGGAGAGGCAAGAATATAAAAAAAACCTTTCTGAGCCAGGTGTAGTGCTGCACACCTGCAATCCCAGTCGCTTGGGAGGCTGAGGCAGGAGGATTGCAAGTTCAAAGTCAGCCTCAGCAATTTTGTGAAGCTCTAAGAAACTTAGTGAGACCCTGTCTCAAAGCGGGTGGGGCTGGGGATGTGGCTCAGTGGTTGAGAGACCCTGGACTCACCAAAACAAAACAAAAAATCCTTCCTGGTAATAGGGGCTTCCTCTCTGATCTGAAGCAGGCAAAGGGCTCAGAGAAGTCAACATGAACAAAAGGCCATAGTGAGAAAAGAACTGATTTCATGTCTCTGGAAACTAAAATTCTAGTCCTCACTCCTGGGGACTATCACCTATGACAAGGGCAGGTCCCTTCTCCTCTTTAGCATCTGTCTCAGAATCTTTCAAATGAAGGTCTGTTAAAACACACTGGTTTAGTAGTCAGGTGCAGTGGTGCACACCTGTAATCGCAGCAGCTCAGGAGGTTGACGCAGGAGAATGACAAGTTCAAAGCCAGTCTCAGCTATCAGGTTAAGTAAAATAAGCCAATCCCAAAAAACCAAAGGCAGAATGATATCTCTGATATGTAGATGCTGACTCACCACAGGCAGAAGGGTATTGGGGGGGGAGGTCACCAGATGGGACAGGGTATCCTATCTGGGGGGGAGGGAGAAGGGATGGGAATGGGAAAGACAATAGAATGAATCAGACATAACTTTGCAGTGCAACTCCACATCATGTATAATCACAAAAATAAGAAGTTATACTCCATGTATGTATGATGTCAAATACATTCTACTTTCATTATAATAAAAAAAACAAATAAAAGTGTTCAGAAAAAATAAATTTAAAATGAAACACAATAAAGATGCACAAATAACAAGTTTGAAAAAAACCAAAACTAAAAACAAAAACCAGTCTTAGCAACTTAGTGAGGCCCTAAGCAACTTAGCGAGACTCTGTCTCAAAATAAAAAATAAAAAGGGCTATGGATGTGGCTCAGTGTTTAAGTACCCTGAGATTCAATTTTAGTAGCAAAAAACAAAACAAACAAAAAAACCCAGCATCATCACAAAACAAAAACAAAAACATTAATTTATAAGGGCTCATTTAAAAAATTTTAAAATCATACATGTATCAGAATCAACTTATCGGGATTGGGTATGTGGCTCAGCTGTATGTAGCACACTTGCCTGGCGCGAGTGAGGCACTGTGTTAGATTCTCAACATTACATGTAAATAAATAAAATAAAGGTCTATTAATGACTAAAAAATATATTATAGAAAAAAAATCAAATTATCAAGCATTTCACTGAACTCTTCCTTAAACCCCCACAAACCCTGTAATCCAAGCAACTTGGGAGGCTGAGGCAGAGGATCACAAGTTTAAGGCCAGCCTCAGCAACTTAGCGAGACCTTGTCTCAAAATAAAAAATAAAAAGGGCTGGGGATGTAGCTCAGTGGTAAAGCTCCCTTAAGTTCAATGCCCAGTGCCAAAACAAAAAACCAAAAAAAAAAAAAAAAA